CCCCTTACCTCTGCCCTCCCTTCACCCCCTCCTCCCCTCCCCATCTACAAACACTTTATTTTCATCTTTTCATTCTCTCACATTTTTTTCTTTTCCCTTTTTACTCTTCCCCTACCCATCCCACCCCCTCTACACCTTTAGCTCCTTTCTTCCCATTTCTAAATGTCAGTAATCTTATTAGAATCTTATGCATTGTTGCAGATTATTTACACCAGGGAAACTATTCGGTATTTAAAACTATTTTTTAAAGGCTAGGTAGCAGACTTTCTTTACTTGCACATAATCTCATACAGTAACCACATCACTCCGGGTAGAGTTTACAAACAACAGAAACCAGCTCTTGGTAATGTAAGTCAAAAAGAAGGAGATTTAAGGGAAATTAGAAAGCTCACAGCATTTTTGAGAGTTTGGGAAAACTGGCCATGTTAGCTGCACGGTCAGAAGCAGTGCCTCAGGTCTCTCCGTGGACGTGAATCTACGAAAGCACCTGGAGACTGCTTCTAGCCAGACACCACAGCTTGCCTCTCGGCCACCACTCACTTTGAATGCACCATGCCTCCGCTTGAACTGCAGCCACTGATGACTCTGGAAACCACACCACTGTAGTCGCTCTCACTCCTGTCACTCTGGCGAGAATTGATTCAACTCGAATTTTCTTTCTTCTTTTCATCTTCCATTTCCATTTTTGTTCCTGGAGAATAGAACCACGGAGACCACTGGTTGGTGGTCACTGTCAGTATACTCTGTCTCACATGGAGTAAAGCCTGAGGAAGTGGGAATTTTTTCCTACCCTGCCGCGTGTCTAAGACCATTTAGAAATAGTCCTTTCTTCTTACCAGCCCTCCTGTGAGGAAAAAAAAATGTGGTCTTTTTTATCCCAACCTCAGTAGCATATTTTCATGGATTTCATTTTCCAAATCTTTAATTATTTTGTGGAGGTTAAGGAAGTATGCAAAAGTATCAAATGTATATGACAAAAATGAGGGAGAAAATAGGATATAGTTAGCCTCAAATATTGATAACCTGAAAATATAGATTCTAAGAGGAACAATAAAAGAAACTGAATCTTCATGAAAGTGCTTACAACCTCATTAGTTTGAATTCTAAAAGCCCATGGCCTTTGCCTACTTTTTCTTTAATTTTCTACATTTAGCAGAATTTCTGGTGCAGAACAAACACTCCAGAATTTTGGAAAAGTAGGCTTGAAGAGGTAAGTAATTTGTTTTTAAGCAATTTAAAGAGCCACGAGGAAAAAAAAAAAAACAGTAGAAAGCAATGTGATTATAAAACACATTGCAGATGGAGATACAAGGAAAACATAAAATGTAAACCAAAGTCTTGAGATTTGAGAACTTGTAAGAATTCTCATCTTTAATGGTTTATGGCTTCTTGGTTGTAGTTTGAATTGGGTTGCCCTAAGAGAATCACCCTAAAGTTCAGCATTTCCTTTAGAACTTTGTCCTTGGGCACACTCTGAGTCACAAAAAATGTAAAGTACATAAGAGAAGAAGTCCCCAGAATTTTATATCCTAGGTAAAGCAGTATGAATAAAGTACACTGTTCCTTCTCAAATTTAAAAGCACAAAATTGTTGCTCTCTAATCTGCTTTGTTTCAGTCATCGATCATTTCTTAGCAGAAACGGAAAGACAGCAAAATCATAACCAAGACCCTTGATCTCCTGTAGTTTTTAATACTAGGAAATTGGATGTGGGGAAAGCAGGCCGCATGACAGTGGAACTGTGCTACAAACTGGTCATGGCCCTTAGTCGTGTCTCCAAGCCCCTCTCACCCTCTGTCTCTCAAGTTTTACCCCAAGACCCTTTCCAGCTTGCCTTGGGGGTACAATGTGTCACTGAGGCAAAAGATCACACAAGGAAGCTGACACCTGCCTGTTCTTTTCAATACAGATATCACTGACATGCAAAGCTGGGAAGAACACACCAGGGCCCAGCCTGAAGAATGCAGTCCCTCTGCACATCAGCAAGCTGGCTGGGGGACTTCAGAAACCGAGAGCGACCTCACCTATGGGGAAGTGGAGCAAAGATTGGATTTGCTCCAAGAGCAGCTTAACAGGTATAAGTAGTAGCGGGTCAAAGGACAGCCTCACCAATCCCTTAGACGTGTCCAGCTTTGCTCCTTCTATGTGGCAAATTCATTTCGCCAAGAACCCTTAGGTTTTTATATATATTTATCTGAAATAAGATTAGAAGGTAACAGAATTATTGTTTTATGTTGCAAGGGGCATTTGTTTAGAATATTTCATACTTTTAGCAATATATAGCTTAGTTTTTCTTTATCATCCAATTAATATAGCATCAGCCCTACTTTAGAAAACTATTTTTATTCTGCCCTCAAAACAATTAATGTTTAACTTGTTAACTAATATTTTTCTTCATTTAAACTTCCTTTTGCCCTTTTCAGTTGTCCTTAGTAATTTAATCATGTACTATAGCTTCTAAAAATACCAAAAAAGTGACTTAAACAATGAGTTATGCAGTTAAATTGTCTGAAATGTGAAAGAATTAAAAATTCTACAAATTAAAGATCAGAGTCTTGCCATTTTCCTTTCAACAGTGATTGAGACCATTTACTGTGACCAAATAGACTTTGGCTTTAGGGAGGAGGTAAAGACTTCATCCAAGTCTGTGTGGTTTTGTTAAAATTAAATGAGTTAAAAGGATTCAGGTGGAAATACGACTATGTTATAAATGCTTTGGTCGTGTTTTATTTGAGGATTTGCCTTGATCCAGTGATAGTCTTCATGTACACCCCAGGGAAGGTATCCCTGTGTTCACAGATGGAAAACTCCATGGATTAAATTAAAATGCTCAAATCATAGCATTTATTAAATCAATTTAAAGCATACAATGAGATAAAGAGAACCAGATGGGGTAATTAGTACATTTCAAATAAGTGCAAGTATGGTAAAAGAGCCACACTACTTGAATCCCAATTTAGACAATGTTCACACATCTGCTGCATCAGCCTTCCTTGTCTATGGTGTGGTCATAAGGACCAGGCTTGAAGTTTTCCCAGAGGATCACAGACAAAAACAAAATCTGTGCTAGTGTCATACACTGGCGCTCTCACAGAGACGCATGGCCTGGTCCACCCGACACAGCTGCGACTTTTAAATTAGTCTGTTCAACAGCTTATGCATTTTACGGACCTTTCTTGGTAGAGTACATGGAGATGCAGAATGAGACTATACAGGGTATTACGAGTGGGTGGTCAAACTGGGGATTGGGAGTTGTCTTCCCAGAAATGGCATAAGAATAAGTTGTTCTTTCCATCTCCGTTATAAGCACTAGTCTTGTTACATCTCATTTCCAGTCTCGTTGGTACATCTTGTTGGTCACTAGCATTATATATATGATATATATACATATATATCAGTTTTAGTATGTCTTGTGTATTCTGCCCATGTCCAACAAGTTATTTCTGATCTCTTCTTAGATATTTTTCAAATAGAATCTGTGAGGAAGAGCTTCCTATTCTTTTTTTTTTTCTTTCTTTTTTAAATTCACCAAACCCTTAAGAGCTTCTATTCTTTTTCTTTTTTTTCTTTTCTTTTTGGTACTGGGGATCGAACTCAGGTCCTTTCACTTGCGAGGCAGGCGGTGGAACCACTGAGCTAAATCCCCAGCCCCAGGATTTTCTATTCTTAAGAGACTGCACTGTTTAACAAAGCTTTCAAAGGACTCAGAATCATCATCATAATTTTTAACTCTCCATTGGTCCTTAAATTCTACTTGTTGTTGAAGTTTTTGTTCTGGCACACCCAAATCCTTTTATATTTTATGGTCTGTGTTGATAATAAGGGTAATAGTAATAAACATCTTTAGTAAATATCGTGTAAACCCCTCATTATTAAATATTACTAATAATGAGATAAATTTATACAGAAATACTTAGGATAAATTTTCAATGTAGAATTTTCTTTGGAGGCTCAGAGAGAAGATACAATAATTGAGTCTGAATTAAACAAGTCAAAATTTGGTGTGCAAACAAAATATGAGCTGGGTCTTGAAGAATAAAAAGAAAATTTGATTCATAATTTAAATAATGAGTCTGTATATTGGGTTTAGTTAGTGCCATAAAATATTAGATCTTTAAGTAAAAAATTAGGAGGCAAACCAACTGACTTTTATCCTTTTGGTGTGTGGTTTTGATAAGTGCAGGACATAATCAGGTATAAGTTATAGATACTGACTTAGAAGGCACTGAAATATCTTGTTATGTTTGCCTATTATAAAAAAACCTTTAAGGATGTGTTACTGTGATGTTCAGAAAGAATATCTGGAGTGTGCTTATTGAAAAGAGAAAAGAAAAGTGATCTCTTTTCATATTTTCCATGTTTCTTCGGTTTTCTTGCATGTCAAAGTCTAATTTACCCCACTTTAAATTCCACAGATATATGAGATACTTAACTGAGCAAAAATATTTCTAAGATTTTTTTTGCATGTTTTCATTTAGACACAAAATAGTAGAAACAACGATTTAGAAGAATTTTCCAAAGAGGGACATGATACAAATTTTCTGTTTATGCCTATAAAATTCCCTCTGTATTTAATATTTTAAAATGTAGCAGAAGAAAATCAAACCAAATATCTTTTGCCATCTTCCCTTGAATTTAATTTTAAGTGAGAATCATTATTAGCAATCCAGTTGGATCTTTGTGAACTTTAGCTGAAACAACAGTCATGCTAGTATTTTGTAAGTCAAATAGGTCATAGAAACAAATGAAAATTGAAGATTAGTTGGCCTCTTAAATACCAAAGCTCTGAGCTTCAGATAGGAAAAAATAGCATTTAACAGAATTTATATTAAAGAAAGAAGGCAGTGATTAATATATAGTACTTTTTTGAATAGGAGAAATATAAGGTAAAATAATGTAAATATAAATTTGGAACACATAAGAAATTCTCCTGAGATTCTGTAACTATGAAAGAAATGTACTACTAGCCCCTCATTTAAAGAGTAAATGTTTAAAAGAAACTGGGAGGTCTAATAGATAGTCAAAGACAATTCCTGATTAAAAATAGATTTTTAACATATTTTACATCTTGAAGTCAATAAAGGTTAGTAAAAATGCAGTCTATTCCCTTCATCTGTTGTTCTGCTAATTACTAATAAATGAACAGGAAAATAATGGTCTTTAACAGATCATTAGTGAGACACAGAAAGTGAGTATCAGCCAGGAAAGAATCTCTGTGCTCCCTCTCCTGTCCTTTTTGTTTAAAGCAGGGCCCTGTTTCTTGGTAGTGCTGAAGTTCGTTCAGATGCTTTTGCAATACTGGATTATTTCAACATTGTCTTTTATTTTTCCACCTGTCTTGGCTGCAGACTTGAATCCCAAATGACAGCAGACATCCAGACCATCTTACATCTATTGCAGAAGCAAACCACGGTCGTCCCCCCAGCCTACAGCATGGTAACTGCAGGAGCAGAGTATCAGAGACCCATCCTCCGTCTGATGAGACCCAGTCATCCCACAGCATCCATCAAGACTGACCGGAGTTTCAGCCCCTCCTCACAAGTGAGTGTAGATACTGCACAACCAAGAGTGTATCTCAAAGTGTGTGTCAGGAAACCACCTAAGACTCTTTTGGGATGCTGTGGAAAATACCGATTTCCATTCCCATCTTTATTTCTACTCAATTAGAATTTCTGATGAGTCCTTTCATCTGTGTTATGCTCCTTTAAAGTTTGAGAATAATATACCTAGAATAATAATTTTAAACACCAGCAAGCATTTTTTAAAGAAAAATACTCTTTTCAAGAATCAATCTATGTAAATTTACATGCTTTAGAGATTTAAAAGTTAAGGAATTGTCCTAGATCCAAAAAACACAAGAGAAAAAATCTATGATTTGATCCAATGAGAGAGATAAGGTTGGGCAGTATCTCAAAAAGAAAAGTAGCAGTGGGCCAGATTGCACCCAAGGTTCCCATGTAATCAGATTAGTAATTCCTCTGCACTTCACTAATCACCAGAGCTTTCTAATTTTTTTTAACCTGAATAATAGGCATGGGAAAAAGAGCAACCCAAAGTGTCCTTTCTCTTGTTTCTGGAGCCTTCCAAGAATGCCTCTTTGAATCACATCAATATGAAAGGTCTAACTACCTTGGAATTCTATTTTGGGAATTAGTTTTAAATAGTTAAATAGTACAGTCAAATGCAAGCTAAGAATGATGATTTTACGAAGGATTTAGTAACCAGGCATGGTAGCACATGCTTGTGATCCCAGCATTCAGGATGCTAAAGCAGGAGGATCGCCAAGAGTTCAAAACATGAACTTCATTGGTTGTTTTCAATGGACTTAAATGTTATCTGATGGGATTGGAAATATTACTTTTTCTTCTTTCTCATGTACAACTAATGATCAAGTGACCATATTTCCAGACTCCAGCTTCATCTTAAATATTGAATTAAAACTCATTAGGAAAACTCAAGTAAAATATTTTTCAAAACTTGATCTAAATGTAACTTGAGTAAAATTAAAGTTCTTGGAATTGTTTTAGGATTATCTAAACTGATGATTGAGCCTCCGGTGTTTTAATCATTCTAGGAAAATGTTGGTTAATACCACTAATCAAATAAGTTTAATTAAGAAAGAAAATGCATTTGGGTTTTAAGAGTGTAATTTTAGATGACTGTTGGCGTGAATTACAAAAAGTTTTCTTTTCTTTCTGTCAGTGTCCTGAATTTCTAGACCTTGAAAAATCTAAACTTAAATCCAAAGAATCCCTCTCAAGTGGGGTGCATTTGAACACAGCTTCAGAAGACAACTTGACTTCACTTTTAAAACAAGACAGTGATGTTTCTTTAGAGCTTCACCTGCGACAAAGAAAAACTTACCTTCATCCAGTTAGGCATCCCTCCTTGCCAGATTCTTCCCTAAGCACTGTAGGAATCTTGAGTCTTCATAGGCATGTTTCTGATCCTGGTCTTCCAGGGAAATAATCATTTTGTACTATTTATTCCATGTAAAATGTAAGTGCTTTTAATGGCTGTTTTCCTTTTTGTATTTAAATTCTCTCTACTCGACTCAGGGGCTCACAAGTTACCATTATATGCAAAAGTACTGTATATTTTCCTAAATTGAAGCTTGTAAGGTAAAATTGAGCAGTTATGATGTAAATATACATAAGGACTTTTGGTTCCAAATGTTAAAACTGCCAGCATCTCTAGGCACCTTACTTTTTGTTTTTTTATTTTCTAAATCATGTGCATGTTAGGAAACTCCAGTTTCTCTTGCATGGAGACTCCTATTTATTGCTTTTACTAAACAAGTACTTTGCTATAAAGATGCCTTCCAAGAAAATAAGAAACCAAGGGATAAAACTATTCAATTCAGATGATCAATTTGTGGAAGTTCAAGGGGGTAAGGAAACTTATTCTTGAGAATAGATATCCTTCTGTATTGAAATTTTTATAGCCAGTTACATTCATTTCCCCACACTGAGAAAAAGCAGTCTGAGATTTATAAATATAGTACAGGAAGTACAGGACAGTATATAGGAAGCCATATCCAAATATACTGAAGGGGAGAAAATATAATTTTTCCTTAATCATTAATATTTTAGAGGGAAACCCTCTCAAAAACAGACCAACAAGTGAAATACAAGCAAGTTTGTTAATGATTGCAGTGTACTCTGAGAGAGAAACTTCAGTTCTAATGTAACTCAAGGAAGAGGCTTGCTATCTCAGCTTACATAAGACTTTGGGCAAAGAGCAATGTATTTTAGAAAAGTGACAGGACAAAGAAGAAATCATGCCGGGCTTCCAAATGTGGGAAAACTGTGGGAAGGCATAAGATCTGCTCCCAGATTTCTCTAGGCCTGCAGTGTCTCATCTGAAAAGCAATCTGTTGCAAAGGAGAATTTACATCCTGTCTTTAGGCAGAAAAGTGGGAGGAATATACAAAGGCTTTCTGTCTTTGTGAATCTTTGTCCTGCTTTTAGGAAAACACACTGAGAAGGCTAGAAGCTTTGCTGCACTTTTATTGTCTTCAGCTAAACAATCCTTCATATATTGCGGAGAAATATTTTGGTTTCCTTCAACACGAATACAGGCGAACATTATCAGAGTAAAAGGGTCTTTCTGCTTAAAATTTTGTCAATAATTGTGTTCACAAACCATCTAAAAAATTTTACATAGGTACATTTCCTCAAAGGCTAAACAACAATGTTCTCTCATTTTGCTTTGTGTGTGTGAAGTTCTCCTAAGGAATTATTAAAATGTAAGACACATACTGATACCCATAGCTTCCTTCCTATCCATATTTTGGAACAATCTTGAATTTTATTAAAATACAGACAGACACGGTTTTCAATGAATATGTAATTTTCAAGGATTTGCATGGCAAAAGCATCTTTCATTAAGTATACGTTTTACTGCAGCTTTCTAATCCAAGATGCAGAAAGGCAATGTGCATTTACCAACCTAGAAAGAAAACACACACACACCAGGAGTAAAATTTCAATTTTGTTTGGTTATTCAGACACTTTTACAGATTGAAAATCAAGTCAAATTCTACTATATGTGGACAAGACAATATATATTGGCCACAGAATATCAGAATATATTTAATATGTTCAACTGTTAGGTTTGAGGAGGCATTAAATCAGTGTATAGAAAATATTAAAAGTTAAAAATTTTGATCAGTCAAGTTCTACTTAAGAAATTTTATTTTTCAAGTCTAATTTTAAAATTATTACAGATTCATTACATTTCTGAACAAATTTTTGAAATTCATTGAAAGTTTCTTAGTTCTTTACTAATTCTTACTCTTACTTATAGCTTTAAAGAAGTATACCTCCAAATTACCATACGGGTTAATTTCATCTCTCTACATGACAAAAATATGATCTATTGATTTGACATCACCTTTGACACAAACATATTCGTAAAGGTCAAATGCAAGAGATTTAAATTTACACACACACACAAAAAAACTATTGCATTATTTAAAATGTGATTAAAGGGACCTTAAATTGCTCTCAGTGTATTTTAAATGGTCACAGAAATTGTATAGGAGACAATGTGTAGGCATAAGCATATTCTTACCTCTAATTTTTTTTAAAAGTCATCAAATACGGGGAATGAAACAGTCAATTCAATGAAACTATAACAATTAAAACCAGCTTCCCAAACCATTTGGGCTGATACATATACAAACTGAGGAAGTAACTGCCACTTCCAAACCTTCATTCAACACTGGATGCCTAGCAGGGGAGAGTCACATAAATGGCTTTGATTTTGAGGTCCATTTAGGGATTGCATTTCCATACTGGGGCACACTTTTGCAGCTGCAACAAATTTCATAAGGATCGTCTGCCTCAACTCCACACACATTCAGAATGAATTCACCAGACTCCTTTGTAGGGAGAGAGAATTTGGCAGGTGAGGAATTGAGATCTGCTTGTTTGATTAGTGAATGATTCAGCTGCAACATTTAGTATGACACGCATAAAATTCAGCCTTCCACATAAAACCTGTTTATTTATGAAAGCCTGCATAATGGGAAGATGGGAATAGTACATAAGCATTCAACTTGTTTAAATTCTAGTATAACACAAACTTTTGTTGTTGTTGTTCCTTGACATAAAATTTTTGGTTGATATTAAAATTTTAGGTCTCAGAAAGTTGGACAGGATTATGAAGGTCCTTTCCTACAGAATACTAGCTTAAAAAGATCCAAGCAAGACAGATGTGGTTAGTCTGGCATAAGTAAATGTCAGAAGGCTTAATGGTTAAAGTGACTTAGAGATGACCAAAGCAAATACCTTGCTGTACAAAATGCATCCCCTGACCCCAGTCAAAGGTCAGCTTCCTAAAAGCAACATCACCCTCCCCATCAGCCAAAAAGTGCAATCTGACACCTCTTTCCGGGTCCTGCCATAGGCCAGGTCTCACTGTTACATCCACTCAAAATAATAACATAGCAACTACTTTCCTTCAGTCAGAAGCACTGGTATAATAACCCTTTTGCTTTCCACCTAAAAATAGTGTTATCTGGCTACCTAGCCCAAATCAAATGCCATCTAAAACTAAAATTTGTGCAGATCAGATGCCTTCCTACAGAACAGAAAGCTGAAGTTTGACCAATTATGTTACCTCATGAGTAGTCCTATACTTTAGCTGATAAGAAAATAATGAATAAGAAAATGTTGAAGCAGTGTTTCAAGGATGTTTTAATTTAATAATCACTAATTCAACAAATAAGGGAAAATAGGGGCAGCAAATTTGGCACAGCATAATTTGTTAAGGCCATTTTTATGGTTTGGTCTTCAGAACTGAACTTTCCTACTCTTCTTGTCAGGGTGTATGGAAATCAAGTCAGGGTATAGTAGCATTAGGAGTCAGGCTTTGCATTTTATTTCATTTATTATTTTTTGTAGTTTTGCTTTAGGCATGGGCTCTACACCTGAACTACTGAGTGGGGAGAATTAGGTTTAGTCTGTGTGTGTGTGTGTGTGTGTGTGTGTGTGTGTGTGTGTGTGTATCAGAATTCCTTGCAAGCTCCTTTTGGAGGTTGGTCTTCAGCAATTGTTTCAAAACTCCTAGAAAAAAACATTCTCACACAAATGTCATTTTTAAAACTTCATCAATACAGTAGTAGATCATGATAAAATTATCTCATCAGCATATTTAAAATAATAATTAACAACAGCATCTTTCCTCCTTTTTTTCATGGTTTGAGAAAAGGAATTCAGTGGATTGATCAGTTGTTAGAGAGATGAATTATAACACTAACATAATTTAACATAGTGCAGTCTTTAAATTGCTTATCCATGAATAAATCCAAAAGTAGATCGACATTAGATTTCTTACAAATCAAAAACTGTGTAATTATAAATAAATCAAGTATTATCAGGTTCCTAGTCACACTTTTTTGCAGTAAAACAAATATGTCTACCATCTGACTTCTAAGAGGAACTTCAAAGACAGGATTATGTAGGACAGTCATCCTCAAAGTGTGGCTCTTAAATTAACAGTGCTAGCATCATGCAGGAATTGTTCTAAACACAGATTCTTATCCAGTGCCCTAAATCTATAGTGTATCAGAAGCTGTGGGGTTGGGACTAGCACACATCTTTTAACAAGCTTCCCCAAAGTATCCTTCTGTACATGAAAACCTTGATAGCAGCAGGTAGAAGGGCCAAGAGTCTCTGAAGTCAGACCGACATCATCCCAATAGTACTCCTATCATTAATCTGCTTAGTGACTGAGTGACTAACCTCCCAAATCTGTTTTCCTGAATCTATAAAGATGGGATAGTGGTACCTGGCTCATAAAAGATTGAAGAAGAAATGAGATAAAATATAGTGAACTGCCTAGCACATAGTAGGTGCTCAAAAGTCAGACGGTTTCTCATTCTGAAAGTTGACAATGTAAACAATCAGGAAAATGCATATCTAGAGTTTTTGCACAATGTGTGGTCTTCAATTGAATAGCAGATAAAGTCTTTGACTCAGAAAATATAAGTGTATTTATCTTATCTCTATTAATTTTAATTTGTACTATAGGAAGTCCCCAACTTATAAAATTTGAGTTGCAAACCTTCACAGATACGAATGGACCTCACATTCATTTGTAGAAGTGAACAAATTGCAGAAGTAGCTTGTGTGTGTGCCAGACACTGTCACAGTTGTGCTGCTGTGTGATTACTGTGCAGTGTTACAGTAGTACAGTATAGCCAGGGACTTACTGTATTTTTTAACACTTCATCTTGTGTATTTATGTCAAAGATGGACACTGTCGAACTTACAAATTTGACTTATGAACAGAACTCATTTGTAAGTCAGGGACTATTAGGTTTATGGCTTTAAAGTGATACTAAGTAGAATAATAATAATGAAAGTATGAATCTCAGTGTAAAAATCAAATCTACTCTGAATCGATGTTAAGAACCATATATACAAAGGTGGTGTGTCCATTTCAGTACTATTAGAATGTATTTTATAAATGCTGGTACACTGTGGAAGTTCCTTTTTACACATGATATAATTCCCAGAGGGACATTTGAAAAGATATACACAGAATACAATTTTGGCTGGGGAGTTAGCTCAGTGGTTCCACCACCTGCCTCACAAGTGCAAGGTCCCTGGTACCAAAAAAAAGGAAAATAAAATACAAGTTTGAAAGTAAGCACACTATTTTCACACACACATCCACACAAAAATAGAATTTTACAGATACAAATGGCTTTTTTCAGTCACCTATACCCACTCTGTCATTGCACAGATACATTTTACAAATCTTCACCTGCCAAAGCTCTCATGTGGAATGGTGCAAATGACAAATAATACAATGCGATAAACCTGAACACTACTGCTCCACTTTCTCTTGAGACAAACCATCAGTGAGCCCCAGTACCTCAAACTATAAAAACGGAGGTATTATCTGACTTATCTTGAAGGACAGTACTGAGGATCCTCTCAAATAAAAATGTGGAAGTGTTTTGTGAACCGTGGAGTACAGAAAGACTCAGATGTCTGACAGCACAATAGCACCACTTACGATCTAAAACATTCCCATAGTTCACTCTCCTATTCAACTCTCCCCTTCTTAAACTCCGTAACAGAAATCTGACACTATTCATACACACCTCCTGAAGATCTAGTTGCTCAGAATAAAAGGATGTCAGTGGTAGGGAACCTTTCTCTGTTTTCCCATTCTGACAGTTGTCAAGTATTGCCTTTGTCCAGCATTCACTAAATTACATATTCACATTACAATTGTTTTCTAGGTGTGCAGTAGCTCCTTCCTTTCTTTCTCACTTACAAATCTTCTCATGCAAAGCTATTTTCTTGCCATTCTGCTTATAAAGAAGTGATATTAACCTTTTAAAAACTAAAAGGCTCATATATTAAATGCTTTATAAAATACTATGATTGACTAGTGCCCAAAATTAGAATAATTATTTATTGCATTCTTTTGTGGTACAAATGCACTTTATTTTAATGTCCAATACAGAAAAGAAAATACACAGAAGACATGAATAATTGATAGTATGGGAAGCAATTATCATAAGACATTCACATAGAATATTAAATGGAAGTCAGATAACTAATTAGAAGTTACTTAAAACTAATGTTACTACTATGACTATAAGAATCATCAATAAAAATAATTAAATATCAATAGAAATGAAATATAGTCACATAATCAATCAATTTTATTGCTCTGTTGATCATAATCAAACTTCTAAGTAAGAGCAAGATTATAGAAATGTTCCTCATATGTTATTATGAAAAGGGGAAATGTTAATACTGCTATTCCTTGAAGTTAATGTCCATCATAAGATGAATTTCTAAATTATACTCGTTATCTGTGGCTTCCATTTATATTTTGAAAAATGTTAAATAATTTCATATAACTGTGGTCTTAAAGCACTATGTTTTACCTATATTCTTTGTACATCCTTTGTGTATATTTTGATGTTTTTAAAATTGAAAATGTCACAACTGTGAGCATTTGTAACTGTATTGTTTTCATGCTTACATATACTGTTTGAGTGAGAAAAGTCCACACCATTGGCATCACCCATATTTAAAAGTAGAATTCATGGATCAGTGATCTCATAATTATATCCTCCACAGTCTCCTAAAATGCTCATATAATTATAACAGCTTTGAAATGATATGCAACTGTTCTTCCAAATGTTAAAGAAATAGGTAAAAATATTGAGAAATCCTGTTATTGCCTAGGCATCTACTGATTTTAATTAAAGACACATTACCTCTTTTTAGTTGAAATTTTTATTTTATAATTTTGATGAGAAAATGTATTATATCAGAATGTTTGTGAGTTAAAGAATGATGTATTTCCAAAAAGAACGTGTGTGATTGCTTGAAAATGTCAGTCATCTGATATAAAGAAGCTCACTCACATCTGGTTAAGTAGTATTTTGGAATGCTTTAAGCTAAACGAAACAAATCTACCAAAACACACACTACTTTGTACTCTTTATGCACATAATGTAGCATGAAATCATGATGCTTTTGAAATATTCTGTGCAGAAATATTTATTTTTTAGCAAATATTTTCTTCAAAGATTGTTATGTGGTATTGACAGTGTAATCTACTTGCACAACTAGTTTTGCAATAACATACAAATAACTGTAAATAAGTAAAATGTATATTTCATGTACAAATGGTTGCAAATTTTTGGTAGCTAAAAGAAGTATACAAGTTGTATTGAAAATATAGTATATATACATAATTTAAGAATGAATCATACTTTATGATCTATTTATACACAAAAAATTCAAGAATTTGTAAAAGAAATTATTTTGGGAAAAAAGAAAGTAAACCTCATTAGTTAGCTAGGATACTTTTACTAGAGAAGCCAACTATTTCCAACATTCTACCAGGAACAGTAGTAGATATAGGCATGGTGCTGCTGATGTATTTTACAAAATCACATAATTGTAACAGTGCTAGACTTTAGCTGAGTTCCATAAGGACTTGAGTAAGCCAGACTGAGTGGTAAGAAGCACTAATGTGAAATTAGAGAAAAGTAAAAGCACGTTAGTTACTGCCCCTCAAGACCACATTAGTAATTGACTAAAACATTTATTATTATTTACTTAAAATTTCTGATGTCTAAACAGGCCTCAACTTATGTGTAAAATAACTTTTTCATATGAATCAATGTATGGAAGTAAGTTTTTTAAGTTTCAGAGGTTCTTAATTTCTCCACAAGTTTCTTCTCTATTATTGAAGAAACAAAATGAAGCTGTCTTCAAAAAATCCCTTTTAAATAAAATTTGTTGGTCTTTATGTGGCATATACTAAGCTAAGGATAGTTCAGTTTCTTTACTTATTTAAAATTCTCCGCAGTTTATTTTTAATACTTACAAAGCCTCAACGGATCATTTCCCTATATGATAAATGAAAAAAGAAACCAAATACAGATAGTAGAGAATATTCCATCAATTTTTAAAATTGAGCATTATGTTATTTTTTAATTTTCCATAACATAGATTATTTCCTGGAATGAAATAAATTTGAGGGTCCTGCATTTATGTAGTACCAGGGATCTAACTCAGGACCTTGCTCTTGCAAAGCAGGCACGGTGCCACTGACTAAATCCCTGGCCAGAGGGACCTGTATTTAGATAGTTGTGAAAAATTAACTGTGTACTTAAAAGTTCACTAAATCCTAAGATCATCTTCAAGTGACCTATAATTTCAAAAGAACATGTTTTCTTAAATTGTATATTTCTGAAACATTTATACTAGCACTGATTATCCTTTGAAATTCCAGTAACTATAGCAAAACAAAATGTGATTAAATAATAGTCAACTAGAATGCAAATGACTATATGAATATACCAGTACATATTTATAGTTTTATTCTTAAGGGAAAAGTTGGAGTCTACCCAATGGTATATCAGAATTGGGAACTACTCACTCATGGTATGGCATACATATCTCAGAAAAGTAGTTATTAAATGACAACCTAGCCCAGTTTTTATTTAGACCCATAAGCTTTCTAAACTTCCACCATCTCGATGTTGCAGAATGGGCACACCTGGAAACATAGCTTGCACATAAGAAAACCCTATTAATTTCCTAACTGTATGGCACATCACAGTAATTGCGTGTGTCTACTTACCATACAGTCAGATACACAGAGGCAAATCTGAATTTTAAATGTACCCAAAATAGAAACACAAAACAGGACATTACCAAGGTACTTGGATAAAATGAGTATTAATTATATAAGGTCCTCTTCTTTATATGCCAGAAAAAAATGTTTAAAAACAAGTAGAAAGAGATATGGCAGGAAACAAAAGCACAGATTTACTAGCATTAAGAAAATGAGCTGACAGTGAAATAAAATTTTCCTAACTTTTCCAGTGTTCTGCTGGAAAGTAGTTTTGTGCTAACTATTCTAAAATAAAAGAAATTTTAAATTTTATATTTGCATGTGATGTTTTAATGTTACTCTACCATAAAATCATCTAAAAAGTATTCATTTAAAATCTTTCCTACATTCATCACTTAACAATAGTTCTAAATATTTTTGGTTGTATCATCTAATATTACATATATACCTAGGCATACTCACAGATGATATCTGAGCAATATGCATTCGTTTCAAAGTGATTCATTCACTATACAGTGATTATATTAAGACAAAAATGAGATATTTGAAGATGAAACTTTCAAAGAATTAAAATATCCACAGTTGTATTTTAAAGATTAAGGGAAAGGATATAAATGTCTTGGATTTTACTCGACTTAATTTACCAGACTTTAATAAATTTAACCCTATCAATTTCCCAGAAAATTGTTATAAAGAAGTAAGAAATAACATATTAATGAGTTTTTCAAACATGAAAGGACAAAAGCACATTTCTGACACAGTATTTTGATTGTGCAGTTTAGTAATGTCCTAAGATTACAAGTGAACTTCATTTGCATATTTTAATTAAAGAAATAATCTCAAATTGATTTTTTGTTATTTTTTTAATTGCAGAGTTGAAACTGAACTAATAAATTCTACTTTCTTCCAGGGTAAATTTTTTTTCTGGAAATAAATATATAACTTCACTACATTCTTTGTTACTTTTTCTTTCCTGGATACATGCTTAAATGAATAAATAAGCACAGTCCTTGAAATTACATTTAAAGTGGACCAAATTAATAATATCTCATAATAATGATTTCCCCTTGATGTAATTTAAAATATGTAAGCCACCACTCCAAACAGAAGCACAATACTTGACATTTAGTCTTCTGGCAGTCTTTTAGATATAGGTGAATCAATGCACTGTTGTTTGAACTGAAGTATCTCATATTATTATGTATGTAATGAATTTTGTATTGTATAAAACTTTACAGCAAGCTATTTGAATGTTTATTTAAAATTCTCAAAATGACATGGAAACAAGTTTACTGTATAAATAAAAGCACTTATACATTGAGAGTGTACATTATTAATAATCTGCATCATCAAAAGGGATCATACTATATCCATATAGTAGCCATGTTTATCATAAAACTATTTAATCCTTGCCTTAGTTAAAATCATCTGCTTTTCTTATTTTTAAGACATCAAAAAATAAATTGCATTTTAGTATAAAAGTCCTGATAAAATATTCTCTATGCCTAATCTGTTTATAAGACTATTCACTTAATTCAAGTGTAAAAGAATTGTGTAGTGATGAAATTGGGTCAGTTCAGAACAGCTTGCTAGAGAAAGGACTTCTAAAAATAAAGGACTTTCCAAAATATTTAGAATAAACTTAGTCAAATAAAATTAGACAAGGCTGTATGTATCTCAGACTTTCCTATGCGAACACGTTCCCAAGCTCCCTGTGGAAGGGGAGGCTTTCCACGTATATTTGGCTAAACTCTACAATCAGTGTCTACAGGAAAACTTTTAAGAAAGGCTAAGTTTGGGATTATGTAAAGATTTCTAATACAAAGGGTCATTTGTAGAAACTTTTATGAATAGCATCACATTTAAAGTTTTACTTAACTATGATCATTCCAGTGAAGAAGATTATCATAACTGACCTCACAAAGTTCAGTGATTTGGCAATCTACCACCTGTTAAGATCATTGGTCATATAATCACCACTGTTTGACACAAAGGAAATATAGAGTTTGTATTGTATAGATGCTTTTTCCTCTACTTCTACTGAGAATTCTATACTTTTTATGGCTCAGTTATGTTCTCTCACTTATGTCCATGAAAAACTACAACAGCCAAAGGACAAAAACATATGACTTAATGGCTCATTCATATAAAACTAAGTGAATCTGACAGCAAATTAAAATTATTAAAAAAAAAACCAATGTCAGAATGAATATACACTATTTCTACCTGACAATTTTTAAAACTATGCAACAGCTGATTTAAAATTCTGTATAATCAGAAGTTCTTTTTCAGAAAATAATACCTTCTATCACTCATCTTTTAAGGCAAATAAAGTGTTTTTAAAAATCTATGTATTAGTCTGCTTACCAGCCAGACTTAAATTATGTAAATTTGTATCTGCTTTCGGGATAGAAGATATTTGGTTCAAATGTAAGACTAAAACATGTTTATATCAAAATCTTTATTAAAAAAGACAGGGTGTTTGCCAAAAAAAAAAAAAAAGAAAAAAAAAAACTACATAAGAACAATTTATATAGGGATTTAAGCATTAGGAACTTGGTGACTCTCCTTTGTGATTTCTATAGTAAATCTACCCAGACATATTGCTGGAGAGCTTCCTGAGCTCAACAGCCCACATTTCACTGATATAATCCAAACATGTATTGGTTTACAAATACAAAAAAAAAAACTAGTTAATATTGTTACATAAGCCAAAGTTATCATTTCTGAACACTTATACAGAATGGAAAGTTACTTCATTTTCTAAAATGTTATATAAACAGTTGACACTACACAGTAGCAGCAACAGAACAAATAAACGTTGACAATTAATTAAAAATGTGTCTCATTTCCAGGGCTGGGGATTATCTCAGTGGTTCTGCCACCTGCATTGCAAGTTCAAGGTCCTGAGTTCGATCCTCAGTACCACCAAAAATATTTTTTTAAAAAGTGTCATTTAAAAAAAAAAATCTATATTTAGAGAAAAATATTGTTTTGTTATCTATAACTTCCCTAATGAAATAAAGTGCAGAGAAAAAAGCTATGTTCAAGAATGTTTTTCACAGACAATAAAATATATTAAGATGCAAAAAATAGAAAAGGAAAAATCAATGTGTCCTGTAGTCTTACTTCATTATAAATTCAAATTCACATAGGTTTTTGGGAATTTAGCTTAGTGGTTCCACCACTTGCTTTGCAGGCACAAAGGTCCTGAGTTCAATCCCCAGTCCAAAAAAAA